TTTATTTTTTAGTTTTAGGATAATTATACTTATGATGACTTTTGAGTTTAGTATAGCAACTACTAAATTTTTGTTTATATGAATATAACTTCATATTGTAATAGTTTTATTTTAAATTATTTGCTTTAAAATAATTGGCCTTAGTAACTAAAACCTTTTTACATTATAATGCTTTTACTAAGTTATGACATTGGTTTAGATACTGCAATAATTGGCTATATATAGCTCAAGCTTGTATACTCAACAAATTTTTAGTAATGTCATATGGACTAAGCTAATGATAATTAATAGTAATCAATTTTTTATGATTTTCTTTAAAATAAATTGGACTGAATTTTCTTTATATCTATTGGGATCTCTATAGAAACAGGAGGTTTTGGTATTATTTTACAAAAAACAGGCTTTTTATAGAAGGATGACTGTTTTTGCTTCTCTTTTTGCTTCTTTCTGTTGATATTGTATAGTTGTGAATAGGAAGCATTATTTTTTATATTCATTATCATCTACATTAATAAATTTAATGTTCTTATTTCATTTAGCATTAAGTTATTTATATAACTAATACTATTATTCTTTTGTCAATAATCATTCTGTTAAACAATTCTAAGTATAATAATCTAACTTATTATATCTGTAATAGTTAAATGTAATTGATTTTTTTTGTTACAATTCATAAGAAGAAAAAAGTATTTATATGCCACTCTATCAGTTTTTGTTATAAGTACAAAAGCAATTATAGCATAATTTAGTATTATTTAATGCATCTGTCTAGTAATTTGCTCTATTTCTTGTCTAGTAAGTTGCTCTATCTTTTTGTTATAATTTGTTTTTTTTTTTAATTATTTTGAACTATTATCTAGCATGTAATTAGTTTCTTGCTCATGAGTATAAGCAAAATTAAGTACAACATCTAGGTTTATAAAGTTATACATAAGGATTAAAAGAAGCATTTCTAGATGCAAATCTTTTTTAAAATAATATAATTTTTGAACATTTAGATAATTACCTCCTTTTTTCACCTGCTTAGTTAGTTATTTGAATTTACTGTAATATATATTTACAGATTTACCAGGAAGTTGCTTTAGTATATTTAGATTTCTTAACTATTTGTTTTGTTAATATTGATTGCATAAACATTCACCAAATACATCTGTAATGGCATTCACTCTGCAGAAGAATCATTAGTTACATTATTAGTACTGTAATATGTCTGTTGCCTTTTATTAATATTCTCATATAAAAAAATAAGCAAAACTTTTTTTTTCATTTAGCATTACATCTATTTGCAATAGCAGCTTTCTCAAAATTTTCTAGTCAAGTCTAAGAATCTTGTGTATCATCTTCTAAAAAAGTTCTATTTTTAAGAGGATTAAGTCTTTCTGATTATTTTTAAAGAAAATTCAAAATATCTTATATCATAGTCATATTTTGTTCAATAAAAGAAAAGATGATATACAAAATAGTCTTTGAAACTCTAAGTCTAAATCAGAATCTTCTTGTTTTAGAAAGCCATAAAGAATTTAAAAAGAATCAAAATTGAATTAGTTGATTTATTAATAGACTTGAATCAAATAACCTACTAATGTATCAAAATTGAGGTCTTATAAATACCAACAAATATAGATTAGAATTTGAAAATCTTTTTCTGATAAATTTTCATATTGCTATATAAATTAAAAAATATAAATCATATATTTAGTGTATTCAAATACAGAATATATAACAAAAAATTAAGTTCAAAAATTCCTATAAGATAATGAGAAGTTAGTTACAATAGGGTAACATAATCTGCATAAATAATCTGTAAAATTTTCTTGGATTTGTTGTAAGACTATAAGTTAGTACTAAAATGAAGTATATGTTGTTGATCATGTTGGTAGTTCTTTTTTACAAACTTATTATATTCAAATATATACTATTTAGATATGCTTGTCTTCTAGTATGTTGAATAACTCACAAGTGTAATTTCCAGTTATTATTTCTAATAAGGATTTCAGATTCACAATATTGTATTACATTATGTTTGTTGCAATTGATATTGTACAGTACTAATTTTAATAATTGAGATTAAATCTTACAGTCACCATCAAACTTGTTACACCTATACTACCTCTATTAAGTACAAGTTAACATAAGATGATTGTAATCAAAGATGATAATAATTGAATGTTTTACAATCATCTTATGCTAATAAGTATTTATGTCAATAACTAGTATTGACATTTAAGAGGATTTAAAGTAATTTGCAATTATGAAAGAAACAATGACCAAATGTATATGAAGATACAAATAAACATATAACAGTTTATTAATAAAATCCTTGAGTTGCTCATGTATGAAGACATGATGACTCTTTATTAAGTATTTCCTAAGTGGAAGCATACCAATTCAATAATATGATATCAGGGCTATTTATACATGTTCATTACTATAGATCTGCATGACTAATCTTCTGTTCACTTGTTAATACTAATTCTATGTTGGTTAACAGTATAATAAAAAGAAGAAAGGTTACTAGATAATAATATATGACTAAGAAAAATAAGAGTGGGGGTGAATATCGATTTAATCTATTAGATTCGTTAGTATCCAATACGGGTTTGTACGTCTGCCGGGCGTTGATCGAAGGTCAGGTCATGTGATTTATCGAGCTATTTTGAAGAACAGGTGACTTTAACAGTACTATAGTAGTACTATAGTGGTACTATCCATCACATAGTTTGGAAGGATGATTCGTAAGATCAGCTTACCGTTACGTATAATTTCATCATATGCGAGATCACTTACAAATATGATAAACTTTAGCGTTAGCACTATTAAGGACGATAATCAATTTATAAACCAGTCAATTATATAATGCTAAGTCATGGCGATAGTCAGTTTATGAACTGTTTTAAAACTCGGCTGAATATTAGGTTAGCGTTAGAAATTAGTAGGTTTTTTTTTAAATTCATATGTGCATCCTGAATACGTACCACAAATCGGTACCACAAATCGATATCACACATGATAGATTCGAAAACCCCTAACCTTGAATTCTAACACTAGCCCAAACTCTAATCTTAAAGCCTAATTTACCTTTGAAATATGAGATAATAAATAGTGAATTTCATTCAAAAAAATAACCGAGGTACTAGTTATATACCTAGTTTAAGGAATAATTATAATAAATTCGAATTTACTACGTATAATAAATAGACTTCAATAGAAATTTTATATTTGTACTAATTACGCTAACTACACGAGATTTATTTTTAAGTTTATAACACTAACAGAAATCTAAATGAACTTGTTTTAAAACAATTTTAGAATCAAGTTCTTATGGTAAATAAGTTAACACACTAAAATAATAAAACAATAGCAAACGTTTTTTTACTATCCATGGTCTGTAGGGGGTGATTTTGACTATACTAACTTTGGACAACAGATTTGATCGGTGAGAATACGTATCACCAAAAGATCTTTGTGTTATTTTCCTGAAGAAAACCAGACATCATAAACTAAACATAAACTAATAATCTATTCCAAGTCTATTGTTTTGTATATTTCTATACTGTACGTTTGTTTAAATTGTTTTGCGGTTAATTTATAAATAATGTTTTATTTATTAATCATACAAATATCTTTGCCATATAATAAGAAGCTAGTATAATGGGGTAGTACATACATTAGTATAGAGATAGTACGAAATATATAGCATTTAGTTTCTTTAAATTTTACTTTTTAAGGGTTAGAATGTGCTTTAGAAAGATTATTTGTTTTTGGTGTTGATCTCAATCTTTTGTTAATCCCCCCACAAAAAATCAAACCGAAGTAATTAAAGTCAAGAGAAGATTAGGTCGAAAACATATAGATGTGCATACGTTAACAAATCAGGTACACTAGAGGCGTTTGAAATAGGGGCGGGAATGAAATATGTGAGAAATCATGATTCTATAATTATACAAATTTGACCATTTACGCAATAACGGTAATTCACATTGAAAGGGATTGATTAAGGAAATAATAAGGCTTGAAAATCATTATAAATTACCCTTAGCAAAGAAGCATCGCTTGAAAATTAAAAACTGGTCTTCATTGTTCAAATTCACTAATTGTAAACTCAATTTTGATGTAAGTTGAAGGAATTTCTAAATAATAGAGATAATAAATTTATTAATTCATTTGTTCATTAACAGCAATTCCATTTGATGCATATTTCGTTTGCCGAGTATTTGTCTAAATCTGAATAGCTTGCAGCTAAGGGTACGCCAGAACTTAAACATGTTTTACATGCTTTGGAACTATTTTTATGTTTTTCATCATTATGATATTTTTTTCGTCTCAGAAAAGATTGTGATCAAGCATTAATTTAATCGATTAAAGCTAACCATTCAAGGTAACAAATTCAAAAATAAATAAATTAGACATTACGTGAAGTCTGCGAGTTTTAAGTGAGGTAAATAATTACTATATGTGTAAATTACATACCTACTGTATATATATATATAAATGAACTAATTAATATGTTTTATTTAACTTTTGTTCGCGCTGACTATTAATCATTTGAATTAAATAGTTAATTTTATAGAATATGTACAATAAATTTAATAATTAATTTTGTGAATATGTGCAATATGATTCACATACTTTTAATGCATTTTCTTGAACTACTATATTAAAATTATTGGGGGTTTTTTTTTTAGAGTCTCTTGCGTATTTCTTTACGTCCTTTCGATATCGAAAAAGAAATGGACAATTTATTTGTGTACTTATGTGCTATATTTTCTGCATTTGGTAATAATAATCTTAATATGTATCATACATGTTGTCTTTTACATATTAAAATATATTAATGAATTTATATCCAATTTTTATATAGGCGGATTTCTGTTCGGATATGACATTGGTGCGTGAAATTTTTTTAGTTAATATGTTAATTAAAATAATGGCAAATTCTTATATTCTCGTGTCTTCTTTGATAACCATTAATTAAAGGTGTCATATCTGGTGTACTTACCATGCGTTATTTTCGTGAAGAATTCCCTTCTGGCCCAGCACAAGAAGGCACAATTGTATCTTCGTTCTTGGCTGGTTGTTTTGCTGGTATGTTATTCACTATTCTTTCATTTGATTACCATAACCCTTATAGTATTGTAACTTGTTTTTTTTTACAATTGTCGGTATATCATTTTTCTTTTTTAACTAGGTGCTCTCGTATCCGGATATTTTGCTGATCGTATTGGAAGAAAATATTCTATTTTGGGTGGTTCATTAGTATTTACAGTCGGTGGTATTTTACAAGCCACTTCCACCACGTTTGCTCAATTATATACAGGTAGAATTGTTTCTGGCATATCAATCGGGTAGGTAAATGCTATTATCTACATATCTTCAGCATAATGATTTTTTTTTCGCGTTTTATTTGACGTCTACTTCTCTTCTATATTTCTCAGCATTCTATCAATGATGGTACCTCTGGTATGTCTATAACGAACTGAGCGTTGTTTTTAAAAAGGTATATTAACGCATTCTTCACCTTCTTTCATGTATTATAGTATCAATCTGAAATCAGTCCCAAAGATATCCGTGGTCGCTTGGTTTCTCTTCAGCAATTTTCAATTACCATAGGGTAATCAATATTTATCTTTTTTTTCAAAAATGTAAATTTGATATCATACTAACTTTCTTCTTTCTATCACGTGACCTTCCAGTATTGCAGTTGCATTCTGGATCGATTATGCAGCAGATAAAATCGATTCTTCAAGCCAATGGAGAATTCCGTTGTGGGTTCAATGTATTCCTGCTTTATTGCTTGGTAAATTATCCATTATAGACCTGTTTCTGCATGAATTTTCATCAATTAACCTTTTTTTTTTTTAACATTCATACATCAAGCACTTGGAACATTGATCTTGCCATTCTCTCCTCGCTGGCTGTTAGATCACGATCGAGATGATGAAGCACTTGTGGTACTAGCAAAACTTCGTGCTAACGGTGACAAAACCGATCCTATTGTTACTGATGAATTTAACGAGATTAAGGAGAATGTTATATTTGAACGTGAATTTGGTGCAAAGAGTTATTTAGAACTAGTAAAAATAGGTCCTGAAAATATTCGTAAGAGAGTTATACTTGGGATTGCTATTCAAGCATTTCAACAATTAACCGGAATGAATGCTATCATGGTATGTATAATTTGTTAATGAGATTTTATTCAATCAATGTTGGAGATAATTAATTGATAATTTCTTTTTTAGTATTATGCACCACGAATATTTGCTAGTGCTGGTATAATAAATAATTCTTCATCACTCCTTGCCACTGGTGTAAATGGTATGTATAACTTATCGCTACTCAGTTTTTAAGGTATTTAATATATCATAAACCAACAAATATTAAAAAAAAAAACCAATTCATATTTGTTAAGGTGTTGTAAATATGCTTGCCACAATTCCAGCTATACTCTGGATAGATACTTGGGGTCGTAGACCTACTCTGTAAGTTATTTTGTTAAATATATATTTCATTTACGTCGTCAACACCTGACGTTATTTTCTTTGAAAAAACAATCAGTGTATCCGGTGGAGCATTCATGGGAACTTTCATGTTAATCATCGGGATAATACTGGCTGTACATGGAACAAAATATTATGACGAAGAGCTGGGAAAACATTCTTTGCATTTAGATTCAACTGCTAGCTCTTATTCAGTTATAGTATTCATTTATTTGTTTGTAGCGTCCTTCGCTTATTCTTGGGGACCGGTTTGTGTTTTTAAAAATTTTTTTCTTATTGGATCTGGGCGAATTAATTAAATCGTGGATTTTTTAGTGTGGTTGGATTTATCCTGCGGAAATTTTTCCTTTACGGTAAAGTGACTACATTTAGATTATTTTGACGCGTCAAATTATTATCTCGATGGGACTAACCGTTTTTACTCTACGTTCTTGTTTAATATAGTATTCGAGGAAAGGCATTATCATTAACGACGGCATCCAATTGGCTTTTCAATTTTGTTATTGGACAAGTTTCCCCTATACTGTTGGATAGGTGCCTATTTTATTTTTTGTTCTTTAGGAAATAATCAATCAAATCTAACTCATTCCTTTCTATATAACTGATAGTATAACATGGGGGTAAGTTCTTTTGTAGAATGCAGTTTATTGTCAATAACCTTATACTTTATCTAATTTTTTTCACACTATCAATACGAATAGAACATACATAATATTTGGCGTATTCGGTCTAACGATGGCCGTATCAGTATTTATATTCTTTCCAGAAACAAAAGGTAAAACATTAGAAGAAATGGATAACATATTCGGTGACAAAAAATCTGCACTACCAATACATAAACGAAACGTTGAAGATCGTGAAATATCACCAAATGTGAAACAGGAGCCAAGTGAGATGAGAAAAATTGAACAAGCTAAAGATACTGCGACTAAGGAGAGTATACCCTCCGTTGGCATTACTTTCCCTGGATAATTTCTATTGACATTATTGAACAAGACGTTTCTTGTTAAACTTGAATAGTTTTATTTATTCATTATTGTATTGTCTTTAGTTATTGTTTTTTTTTTTTTTTTAGTTTATTTGTTTGCTATAAAGCAAAGACTTAGACCAGAATAATATATAACTTTTATCATGCGTATAATATATTGTATAAAAATTTATTGAGATTTCATGTGATTATAATAATAAAATTGGTAATTCTATTTTGAAAGTATCAATCCTTGCGAAATATAAAATATAATTTACAATAACTTGAGATTAATTATTCGGTTCTAGTTTGTTATTGCCGGATTTAACCGACTAAGCTATAACATTAAAACTTCCAACTTTTCAACTATAAGAGTAATAATTTTATTAACAAATTGCAAAAAAAAAAAAAAACCAAACCATTGACACAGAAAGGAATTGCCTTTAATTCATTTTCTAAATTTTATGATTGTTTTGGTTCGTGAATTTAGACTACTTTTTAATAATTGTTCTGAAATTTGGACCTATTTTGATATGAATTTTTAATTTTTTTGGGGGTGCCTTTTTTTATAGTTTAGTTAGGGTTTATGGTTAGGAATTATAAATTATTGTAGAATATAAGCCCTGCTACAATCCATATATACTCTTTAATTATCAATTCTGCGTTAGTTATAATGTACGAAAGAAGAAATGCTAATAAACACATTTTATTATAACAAAGCATTAAGTAAAAAGGGTTATTACCAAAATTTACATACAGTATAACATATACCAGACGTGAACATGAACATGGACGAGCAAAAAAGATTTATAAACATAATAATGTTTAAATATACACTTAATCGGATCCAATCTTTGCGCGAAATACTAACCTAAATCATATACAACTGCAAAAATTTTCAGAAGAATCGCGTTATCTTTCGATTTGTCACAAAATTTGAAACAGTTGTAATGATTTATTATCCGAAATAATATTAAAATGCTACAGTAAAGGATGAATCTTAAAAAAAAAACCACCATGATGGTTATATTAAACTTATTTACCTTGCGAATCGACAGGCGCAGGTGGTTTAAAGATTTTGTCCCTCATCGAGGTGTTGTTGTGAAATACAATTATGATATTCTGTCCTTGCTCCTTTCGTGCAAATATCGAAATACAATATAGATTTTGAAAGCATCGCTAAAAGTGCTAATAAATTCTTTTCAATAGTAAGTCAAGCTCCTGATTGTCATCCCGACAGGCCGTTCTGAAAATCTCTTTCCATTCCTCAAAATGATACCTACCCGAGCGTAATATGTACCAAACAATTGGGATGTTAAACAATAAGTTTTGTGGCTGTCGTCCGACGGGAACAACCACAACCACGTGATAGTCGTCCCGACAGCCGATATTCGACTACTAACCCATTACATCAACAATACCTACTCGAGCGTAATGCGTATAGACACAACAGTTTATGACTGTCGCCCGACAGGCTATTTGACAAATCTAATAATTTGACTATCGCTCTATGCGTACGAAGTGGTGATTCTTGGTAACCTGTCATCCAACAAGCCACTCACTGCTAAAAAGCCTAATATTTCAATCCAATTTTCACTGAAGATCACTCGTTAAGTTCCATACGAGGGTAGGAAAAGATGGAACGAAAAAACCAGCCAAAGTAGGGTTAGCAGAAAAAACAGAAATTATCTTGTCTGGGAAAAAACCCGTACCCTTTAAATATGTACAATTCAAAAACCACATAATTACTTCGTTATTCTAACAACGTAATCAGTCGCTACTATATTAAACTCAAACGATCATCAGATCGAAAATACTATACTCTTACGTAACAAAATCGATAAACTCTAACAATTATAAATAAAGTTATTCTGCAAATACAATAATTATATATCGAAAAATCTCATTTCTGAAATCTGTTACAGGTTAGTTGGTTCTGAGTAGCAGTTAGTAAACGATGAAGAAGATGTCATAAAGATGGGTATCAGGATCCTAGTGAACTTTACAAGGGTAAAAATAGTGTAATGTAATAGTTAAACAGGTAACTTCTGTGACTGCAAGTATTAGGTAATTATAACATATTGCATAAATTAGATCAGCTATGTATGAGATATGATAAGTTTTAGTAAGTCTCCTGTTGAAGATAAAGTAGTCTTAAAGGTAACAATAAAAATTGAGAAATATGTTCTCATAATACAAGATGAATTATATATGTAGAGAGTTTAAATAGATAAGATTTATAGTTGACTTATAGGTATGATATCTAGTATAGAATTTATATAATAATATATAAACAGATTATTTAAATTAGATATCAAAATAAGATATAGTAACCTAATAAAATAATCAGGTTATTAATTCTCAAATAATAGGTTTAGAATTTAAATCCTATAGATGATGAATTTTGAAAAATATACTTATGTTATGATAACTATCTTTATCGATCAGTTGGATTAGTGTATTTGTAACCTTCATTTGCATCATCTTAAATAGAAGCTCAGAACATCTATGTAAAATGTAACATTATACCCACATAGAGGAATTTTAATAACAGATATTATATAAGACTTTGATACAAATCCATGATAAGATTACCAGGTATGAAAAGTAAAAGAACTGAAGAGTCAGAAACCCATTCAGAAATTTTGAGTAAGAAGATAATATAAAATTTTCGACAATGCTGTCAAACTAATGAAAGTCTATAAAATATTCTCAAAAAGATAGATAGATAAACTAGATAGTAAAATATATAAAGGCATATGACCAATCAGACTATCAAAATTATTAGAAAAAAAGAATACTAAAGTATATTATACTAAACTATCTGGATTGGAAATCTAGAGTGTATTGTTAGTCTTAAATAGTGATTAGTAAGAAACAATAAAGAAAATATCAGAAAAATGAACATTAGGGTTTTGGATGAATCTTATAAGAGTATAGCAGTTTAATGATTAGTTCTGATTACAAGTAATAGTTTAAGCCAAAGTACCGTAAAACGCCAGATACAAGACCCCCCAAAATTGTAGATCCACTATGTATTATACCTGGGTCTATAATGCGAGTTGAAATTTTGGTAGAATGTAAGAGACCCGGGTATACAATAAGGAAACAATAATTAAAAGATCCGGGTATGATATATAGCAATAGCGGGTTATTATAGAACTTTAAAAAAAACTACTGTATTAAAATTCTACAAATTTTGATCTTTAAAGATCATCTGCGCTGATGGTTAAATACAATGATCTTCAAAGTTTTATTCGTATAAGACCTAAATCCAATCTGATTTAGATCTTGAATTAAGATTTTGTGGGTTTAGCTTTGCTGAAACTTTGAGTAATGAAGATTAAAACCAGGATCTTGCAAGATAAGTATAGCATTTTTTTTGGTTGTTTTTTTTCCTTGAACTAATTTTTTCTTTAGATCTAGCTTTGCCAGAACAATAAGTAAATCGCTTCGTGTTATTGTTGAAGCCTTCACAGGTATAATTTCATCACCTTAGTGTTATATTTTTTGGAACTTTTCACTAGCATGATTTCGTTACTTCGGTGTTATCGTATTTGGAGCTTTGCTATGTAATTTCGTCACTTCGGTATCGTCGTATTTGGAGCTTCGCTAGTGTGATCTCGTCGTTTCAGTGTCATCATATTGGAGCTTTGCTAGTATGATCTCATAGCTTTGGTATCGTCGTATTTGGAGCTTCACTGGTGTGATTTCATCGCTTCAGTATCATAGTTTTAGGTTTTTTTTCATAATTTCTTTTTCATTCTTTTACTAACGTTTTCTTTCTTTTGCGGGTTTATGCTTCGCTAGTGGTTTTTTATTCTTGGAGAATCCTCTTGTGGACTTTTGGCATTTTCTCTTTGAAGAACACTCTTGTGGACTTTTGGCTTGTTTGAAAATTCTCTTGTAGAATTTCAGTGTTATTTGAAGAATTCTCTTGTAGACTTTCAGTGTTTTTTTTTTGGAGAACTTATAGGCTTTTGGCATTGTTTGGAGAATTCTCTTGTGAACCTAGTAGATAAGTACTAGTTCTTTTAGCTTGTTTGTGTTTTTTTTTCTATTATTTTACTAACTTTTTTTTTGTTACTTGGAAGTGTGAAAAGGCAATTGATGGAATTGAAGTTGAAAGAATGAGAATAAGACATTTAAAAATCAGCAGTGATGGGGGTGTACTCGTGGAATACTTGCAATTGGCAATGGAATTGGGGCTGAAAAGATAAAAATAAGGCATTCATTTATTAAGAATCGGCAATTGATAACTGGAATTGGAGTTGAAAAGATGAAAATAAGGTACTTATTTATCAAGAATCAGTGATTGGCAACTGGGGATTGGAGTTGACGAAGATGAGAATAAGGCATTCGTTTATTATCAAGAATCGGCTAAAAAAATTATCAAAAATCGGCGATTGGAATTGAAATTGAAAAGATGAAAATAAAGCATTTATTTATTATTGAGAATTGGCGATTGGCGACTGGAATTAGAGTCGAAGAGAATGGGTTGGGATTAGTATATATTATGCATTAGCATTAGGTTGAAAAATAATATATATTTTATGTAATATAAAAAAATAAATATATGAATATAACCCAGGTATATTGATATATGTGTAATTATTTATTATGTAATATTAAGAATTGCATGTTACTAAAAATTTTCGCAGCTTTGCAAAAATTTTTTCTTTAATGGCCGTGCAGATTTATGCAGATTTTTAATAATTGTTTTTTTAAAAAATCTGCGTAGATCTGTGCTATAAAATTTTCTCGATGCTAGTGTCAAAGGAGTTTCCAACTCAAAGGTTAAGCATGCTATACTACGTTGACCACCAAAGGGTCAAGTCAGGTAAGTATCTCAATTCGAATATATGGTCTTTTATACATGTTAGCTACTTAGAATCTTCTGATACATTCACCAGGTTAACTTCATTCGCCTTCACAATAACAGGAGGAACTGCTAATATTACACCAAGGAGGGATTATATTCATCACACTTGAAGTTACATATAAATAATTTCAGTTTAACTGATCACTTGTGTGAACGATGAGGCGAGGTGATTATATCCATAACATACATTTTAGAGTAAACACAAAACAAATAATTTTATTATTGATTGACTACATCGTGTGAAGGATTAATGTGTAACATTGACGGTTCCTCCTGTTCTTCACAATGACTCATTTCTCTTCAGCACCAAGTAAACTTCCCCTTGTGTCTACATCTACTTTAAGACCTTTCACCCAGAACATTAATCTCCGAATCTCCTTTACTAACTCTTTATCAAGCTAGCAGAGGGATGGATGGTAAGTAATACAAAGATAAAGTGGGAGTTTAGTTGATAATTATAGGATAGAGGCAAAAATAAGGGAAATGTTGATCATAAGGTGATATTGAGGCGCAGAAAAGTTATGATAGTACCAATGTCCAAATCTACAGATGATTCTTCGTATTTGTATATTATGTCTTGAGCCATTTGGCATTAGTGTAAACTTTATTTTATTTATACTATATGGTTCATTAAATGCTAAATCAATTTAGTCTGCAATAAAATTAAAATCATAATTTACAAGAGATTCACAATATAGGTTTTGTCTTTTTCTAATGTCCAGATATCATCTGGTCCGATTTCTATCGATTTATTCAAATCTGCAAATGAATTTATACAGTTATATTAATATATAGTGATTGTAAAAGCCTTAAAGAGATTCTTTATTATGTAATAGATTGCTTTACGATTATTTAATAACACATTATTCGGTATATATGCAGATATTTTATGTGTAGTTATGCAATAAATTGAATAAACTATTTGCCCTACTTATTGTTCTATTCTTTTGTTATTTCTATGATTGCAAATTATATTTCTGTCTGGTTCTAGGACTTTAATCCCATATATTATCATATTCAATCATTTCATCTTCATAATATGTGTCTTCCTCATTTTCATCTACGTCTTCTTCTTCATATCTATTTTCACCCAGGCTAGCTTCATTGTCATCGGCACTATTACCATCATCATTATCACTATCATTATAATTGCTGTTGTAATTACCACCATCGTCATTATTAGCATTATCGCCATCATCATTATTATCACCATTATTATGATTACTATTATTATCGTTTAATGTCAAGTCGACAACACTTTCATTATCACTTGCGCTGTCCATACAAATATGTACGTAGTTACTACGCTTACGAACCTCCGGATTCTTTGTCCACTCATAGTCAAACATCATATCTTGTTCAGATCTGTCTTGAGCAATAGAGATGCCACAACACTTGAAAGACCGTCTAATATAGGCAGGATCAACTTGGTCTCATGCGATTTTTACCCATCTAGCCACCACATTATAAGTGGGTCATTGGATACGACCTGTAGGTGTTAATTTCTTTATTTCTTCACCCATTTAGTCAAGGTAGCACTTGCGATATTTAAATAAGTTATTGGATTTATAAATAATAATTGTAAAATATATATGTTAAAAAAATATATTTCGGATTTTTAAATTATAATTTACGAGATTCTGTCTGATTTTTTTAGAAACTATGTTTGGTAAATTATAAATTTAAAGGCTCAAAGCTTATTGACAATATCTATATATATTAGTTTACCTTATCTTTGAAAGATTTATTAAGATATACATCCAATGGTTGTAATTTTTTCATAAGTCCACTCAGAATAACCGCAATATCAGTATTTTTCTCATTAAACTGGATTTTAACTAGATCTGTAATATGACTACAAAATGAATCTAAAACCAGTAACGAACGAGGATTAATAGACAAAGGAGCATGATGATTCCAAATTTTTTCAATCCAAAAAACTATTTCATTAGAATTTATATATCCCTCCTTATTAGCTCGTACAATTATGCCTGATGGAAATATTTGTCATGGTACATTTACTAATTTAAATATTATCATAGGAGGCAATTTGGTTCCATCAGCTAAACAACTTAAAACAACAGTAAAATTAGATTTTTCATAACCAGTTGTACTGATTCTGACAGTATGAGCACCAGTTTCTTCAACTGTAAAATTATTAGGTACATCAAATATCAAAGGTGTCTCATTCATGTTTCCAATGAGTGTAAGAGGGTAGTTGTAACGCATGCGATGAAACAATATGTAACTTAAAAATTCATCTTTTTTAGATTCTAACTCTTCTGGTAACCTTTGTGCAACAGTAGTATGGTGCCTATTACTTAGTTTATTGTGATGCATGAAACATTCGATCCATTTGTTACTCCATTTGCATTTATTAATTCTTGGGTAAACTGAGATAAAATGAGATTGTTTGGCAAGTTGTTTGGCTTTAGTTCTAATCATATGCAAAGTTACAGCTTTTTGTTTTGAGCGTAAAGATTTAATCCAAGACATAAGATCAGATTCTAAAAGTGGATATGTTGGGCATGCACCAATATTTAGATGTCTAACATAAGGTGGAGCATTTTTTAGTTCTTTTTTTTTCTTGATCCATTTACGCAATTGTTTTGGACTTATGTCAAACTGCTCTGCAGTGTTCTGTTTACTAGCTGCAGGATTCCTTTCTAGGTATGTAACAATCACCAACTTCTCACGAATGTTCCAGCTTCTTTTTTTTTTTTTAGTTATTTTTGCGTCCTTTAAAATTGTTCTATTATGTTTCATTTCATACTTTATTCTATTTATGTATTAATATATAATATCTTTATATAAACTTAAAACAAAATAAATTTTTGATTATTACCTCTTGGCTTGAAACTTATTTTTACCATGATAAAAATGTAAGTCACGATGATTTTTTTGAACAATTTTAATATATAATAAACCAATTTGCACATGTTAGTTGTATTAATAAGTCAATTATACTAATGTTAATAATATCTATAATGCTTTCCACCAATATGTAAACTAGTATATCAAATTAATATAATTGATTCAAGTTTTAATCACTGTAGTAATATGCTGAAAAAGCTGTGAAATGCAAAATATTTTTTTAAATCTCAACAAGCTATTTTATAATTATTTTTTTTTTTTTATTGTATTTATTAGTTTAATAGTTTGTTAGTTTGCTTCTAAAGTTTATTAGTTCATTTTTAATTGTTTATTATATTTGCAAGTAAGTTTAAAGTTTAATTGTTCTTATTCGTTAAGTTGTCAATACTAATTACTAGGTTTTTTTTTTTTGGTTTATAATTATTTCTCTGTTATCGAACTTCTGATCTCTTATTAATTTTTTCTTTGCTATCATTGTGAATTATTGTAATTTTTTCGCTAAATATATTATTAAACTTGTGTTTGCCTCAAATAATTTATAATATGTAGTGCCGTATCAACTATAACTTGGGTGAGTTAAATAAATATCTAAATACATACGTACGTATATAATAATGACAAATAAATATAATATTGTACTACATAGTACTAGACTCCACATAAAAACTCTCCTAGTTATCAGATTTATATCCATACAACAGACCCATGGGTCTATAAACTAGGATTCAAAATTGGTGAAATGTAACAGACCCGGATCTTGTATCCGGTGTTTTACAGTAATACTAAATAAACTATAAATATAAAATACAGAACATACTAATAGATTTAGTACAAAGTTAAACATAACTTAGTAAATATAATATATTTTTATCAGTTTACTGAAACTGTTAGTAAAATATAATAAATACAGGATCAGAGTATTTAAATAGAGGTTGTACAGATAGGTTTTAGATATAGCAACTAGTGTAGAACCTTTGAGCAGACTATTTAAATTAAACAATAACTAAAATTGTACAAGTAGCTAGTTGTATACTCTTTCTATAATCATCTTTGCACTGTTATATTAACAGATATTGGCCAACTGATACTATCAATAAAATTCTAAATTGCATATACTTATTTTAATATTTAAAAAAATAAAAAAAAAATAAAAAAAATAGTAAAATTAATTTTATTAGTATAGTTTATAATTTTTAAAAGCCTAAAATAGGCTCATAATTGTAACTATCTAATAGCTGTATAGAAAAGTTGTATATATATATTTTTTTACTTTATTACTTTTTTTTTATTTCTTGCATTATATTATTTATTTTTATAGGGTGTGGTGTTCTAGTGAAGTGGTCAGGTTGTTAACCCCCAAGTGGCAGGTCTAAAGTTCAAATTCCATGGATGACGAATTTTGGAAAATAGGTCTGTGTTATGGTAACTGTCTCTGTCAATTAGTTGAATTAGTGTATCTGTAACTTTTGTTGCACTATCTCGAATGGGAGCTCAGGGCATTTATACTAAGTGTAACATTACACCCACATAGAGGAATGTTAATAACTGATGTTGTATAAGACTTCGGTGCAAACCCACGATAAGACCATTGAGTGCAGAAAGCAAAGGAACTAAAGAGTTGAAAACCTACTTAGAAATCCCAAGTAAGGTGATAGCACAAAACTTTTGACAGTGCTATCAGACTGATAAAAGCCTATGAAACACTCTCAAAAGGATAGATGAATAAACTGGATGGCAAGATATGTAGAGGAGCACATGACCAACCAGATTGCCAGAATCGCTGGAGGAAAAGGATACTAAGGTATACCATACTAGGCCATCTGGATTGGAAATCTGGGGAGTCCTGTTGGTCCTGAGTAGTGGTTAGTAGAGGATGATGAAAAGAACATCAAAAAGATGAGTATCAGAATTTTGGGTGAACCTTACAAGAGTAAAAGTGATTTAATGGTTAGCCCTAACTGCAAGTGATGGTTTAGGCCAAAGCATGACCAAATGAGCTGTAAGTATAAGATACAGAATGCACTGGTAGGTTTAGTACAAAGTTAAACATAACTTAGTGACCATGGCATATCTTCACCAGTTTACTAGAGTCACTGATAGGGTGTGGTGAATGCAGAATCAGAGTATTTAAATAAAGGATCTACAGATGGGTTCTAGGTATAGCAACTAGTATAGAAACTTCAGGTGGACTACTTAAATTAGACAATAACTAAAGTTGTACAAGTGGCTAGTTGTACACTCTTTCTGTAATTGCCTCTGTGTCTGTACATGTACAGATACTGGCCAACTTATACTATCAGTAAAATCCTGAGTCGCATGTACTCACCTTAACATTTAAAAAAAAAATTATTTATTTTTATATTTGTATTTTTTTATATATATTTTTTTTGTTTTTGTTTATTTTTCTATAAGAAGATATCATCAGATTAAATAATATTTTATTGTAGAGCAGTAGTTAAATATGATTTTTGATGTATTTTAATTTTTATAAAATTAGACAATTAGTTCAAACAGATTACTTATAAGACTTTTAGAAATATTTACAGAATATTAAATCAAAATTTATACAACTTTATATATATATGTACAAAAATTATAATAAAGAGCTTTGCAAAATTGCTTAAGTGAAAAAAATTTTTTTTAAATAGAACATAATAATATAGTAAAATGGTTATATTGTTACTTTTCAAATAACAAGTCTAAAGTTCAAATCTTAATATTAATAAAAATTTGAAAATTCTCTTTATATTACAATTATCTGTTTTTTGATATTGATTAAGATAAAATATCTATTATCTGTATTATACTAACATAACTAAAAAGTTATATAATATTTGTACAATAGTTATATCTTGTACAAAAAACACAAACTAGTACTAGACAGTATAAACCTATAATAAGTTCTTGTAACTATACAAATTATAAAAATTAGAAAAACAGAAGTTTATTTAAAAGTTTTAAGTAGAGAAGTAGCCTGAACTTTTAACAATATTATTATAAAAACTAAATCTAGAAAATGGTACTAGATCTTGTAAAGCTAAATAAAATATTGGTTTTTAAAAAAAGATTATTGTAATCAACTAGGCTATTAAAACTCTTTGAAAAAAAAATTACATTCTGACAAATATATAAATCAGAAATATAGTTGTATCTACCTTTCAGACTATTTGAACTAAAAACTTAATAAAATTAAATTAAATACTAAAATAATAAATATATGTTATAAAATAAGTACTAAGTTAAATAAATTTTACAAAAGTATAGCAATTTAATAATAAGCTCTAACTGCAAGTTTTGGTTTTAGCTATAGTTAGAGTTTTGTAATTTGATTTAATTTGATTTAATTAAATATTTGATTTAATTTGATTTGGTCAAATATTTGAGTTTAAATCAAATTCAAATTTGAAATTTTAAATCAAATCAAATTCAAATATGATTAAATTTAATTTGATTTAATTTAAAAATTTATAATTGAATATTTAAAATTATAAGTTATTTACTCAAAATTTTATTAGATAATCAACTTTATTGTTCTATAAAACTAAGAGTATTTTGTTTAGAAGAATGCTTTTATTATAATGTTAATAGTGAGACCATGCCTCTATCTTTATTGAATATAGAAGAATGCTTTTATTTAAGAGCTCAAAATTAATTAATATAGTAAAATTTTTTATAAATTAAATTTTTTTTTATCTATCAAAATTTTAAATTTTTTTAAAAATTAAATTAAATTTAAATATTTGATTTAAATATTTGATCAAATCAAAAGTATATTTAATTTAATCAAATTCAAATTGACCTAATATTTAATTTAATTTGGATTTAAAAAACTCTAATTATAGTATTATCAGATTAGTTATAAAAATAGAATATAGAAGATTTTAAAAGATTTAGTACAAAATCAAAGATTCTTTATATGAATAAACTGCTTTAAAGACTTAGTAACTATAATATATTTTTATTAGTATCAATTAGAATTATTAATAAATATAAATAGGGTGTGGCGACCTAGTGAAGTGGATAGGTTGTCAACCCTCAAGTGGCAGGTCTAAGGTTCAATTCCCACGGACGA